TGTAGCGATCGATGCAATGCTTGTCGTCGATGGCAGTGAAGCGCATCCGTTGAGACAATCGCAACCGTTGTCTGCATTTGCCAAACGTGTGGATCAGATTGGGTGACAACTGAGCCAACGCTCGGTACGACCCCTCCTTCCGTTCGGTGTCACCAATGGATGAGTGGTTGTTGTGTTGCGACACAAACAGCGGTTCCATGACTCGTGTTGGGATCAGTTGTAGTGATGTATTGAGTGATGTCTTCAGTGCAAGCGATGGAAAAAACAATGATATTTTGTGTCACTTTTGGCGCGATTTGTAGCAAAACCTAAACAAACACTCAACCAATCAGTGAATCACATGTAATGCGAGACCTTTTCATAGGGAGTGGAGTAAAGTGCATGTGTGCAATGGGACCACAATTACGGTTGTGTAGAGTTGGCAGAAATACTCCAACTCGTGTCGACATCTATAGGACGGCTATTATTGAACACAAGTGTTTGGTTTGCATTTTGGCATAACTTGGGGTCAGAATCGGCGCTATATTTGAATGAATTAGGACTTCATGTTAACCTGTTAACAGAGGTTTGATATTACAGTATATAAATAATATAGTTTTAATAATTAACAAACTTATTTGTAATCTATTTATTGGTATATTATTGATAATACCTCATTATTTGTTATATTTTTGCAATGTTTTAATAGTAATGCCATTTTTATTAAAATAACATAAATATTGATAATACTATAGTAAAATATTTTTAAATAGCATTTTATTATAACTACAGTGTGAATAATAATTTTATTTTAGAGTATTTTATAATGTTTTAACTTTTATATATCTTAATACAATTTATAATAAATTTTTGAATAAGTATTTTATATGTTATTAGTATTGGGCGTAATTTTATACAGCACTGGATAGTTATTTACAACTAATTATCTCATTAACATACTTTAATATAATAACTAATCAAATATGATATTAAGTCTAAATAGCTTATCATTTGCAGTGAGTTGTTATGTACTGTTATTTGATTTATAAAAACAAGCCATAAATATAGAGATATAATGCAATATAAGATTTATCGCAAATCTTATCATATTGTAAGTCATATGTCTCACAAACATCCAAAAGAAAAGAGTTCAGAAGTTTTCCAAAAAGCATTTCAGAAATTATTTCAAATGAAAACAAATGATTTTCTGTTTTCAGTTTTCAAATTGGATTTCTCCTCTTAAATACTTTTTCACATGAATTTTTGTTTGCATTTTTGCAAAACAACTCACATTTTTGGGTTTACAAATGGTATCATAATACTGTTCATTCAAGATTCATTTCATTGTAATTTTGTGATAAAAATCTTGCTATTTATGCGAATAAATAATTACAAAAATCTTTTAAGAATAAAAAATTTGAGATAAAATAAAAATTTAAACAGAATTTTTGCGAATCCATTGTTTTGGCAATGATTTATACACTTTTATGGAAAGCCTACGAATGAACTGAACCGTAAAAATTGAGTCCGATTTCTAAGAATTCAAAATACTATCCGAAATGTTTGGCCGCTTTTGTGTTAAGACTGTCTCTGAGATTAATTGATGGTATCTATTGTATTAAATACCAAATAATCAAATAAATAAAGTCATGTAATGAATGATTGCATGAATCTATTACTATTTTTGCTTTCATATGAATACTTTGAATGAAATTAATTCATAGGGAATATCATTTTATGTATTAATATTTTTGTTACTTAAAATAAATAAAATAGTAAAGTATGCATTGAACCTATTTGTCAAATGTATACCAAAAATAACAAAAACTTCATTTTAACAAAACTTTTTTATTTTTTAATATAAGAGTAGACAAAGAAATTCACAATAATGTACTGAACTATACTGTATACTGTAGTATAGTATTCTGTATATTTTGAAAGACTGTTCATTTGGATTAAAAATAATTTTTAATTTAATAAACTCAAAGTTATTTATGTCTTAATATTAAATATTTTAATATCTAAAAAGTAAAGTTAAAATAAATTTACTTAAATACTTAAAAGATAATCTTAGAGTGCACCACAAATCATAACGTATCTATTGAAAAGTCTGACTTACTTTTGAGAGAGAGAGAGAGAGAGAGAGAGAGTTTAGTATTTGAGCTCTAATTCTCTTCATTCATTTCAACGGCTTTTTTGTGCTGTACTTAAGATTTAAGAGGAAATTAGTTTCTCTTCTCTTGTCTTCTTGTGTTGTATTTCTCGTTCACAACAAATATAATAGTCGTCCGAAACTCACAACTGATTTCTTTCTCTCTCTCTCTCTGTAGCCGTAGATTTAGTCTTTCCTATTAAAAGGTCAGTCCGTTTCCTCAGTTATATGAGACACAGTTTAAGGCATTAACAATATTCGGACGGCTTTTAAACCAGACAAAAAACTTGTGCCTCTTTCTGTCACTCAATTCCACACAATCTTATTGTTTTTCAGACACTTTTCTCGTGATTTCCTTAGAGTTTGTTTTGAATATATATTTTTAGCTAAAACTCAACACTCAATATGTTAAGGAAATAAAGTCTTAAATCTGTAGATATATTGCTATAAATGATAGCCTTTTTGTGTGAGTGTTCTGTCGATCGGAATTCCAGTTCCAGAATATTCTCTGCCTTTCTATTCATATATTGTGTATTCAATCAATCTTTTGAAAGACAAATAATTAGTTCTTTAGTCACATATTTTGATATCAATTAATCACTAGCGGACAGACATGTCATACATTGGAAGTTGATAGGAGTATAGGAGTGGATATGTTTGTGTCTACCGTTTCCTTCCATTTAAACTTATTTTTAATCTTCTGAACGATAATAATGCAAATGAGTGTCAATACAATCTACACCCACTCACACACCTCCTAATCATTGCATTTCATTCAAGTCTTTAAACAATATTCAAAACCTATTTTTGTATGAATTTAAAATAAAACTTAATCTAAAATCAATAAATACTATATAAATATTCTATTAAAACATAATTAAAATTCAATGTAAGATTAATAAATGAATTGTTTAATTTGATTAATTATATTAAAGTTTAATTAATAATTACGTTAAATATTGCTATAATTAATCAAGAAAATATCTTTGACAATAAATATATTTAACTAATATATTTAAAAAATTAACACAAAAATAAAAATAATAATTATGAGTAAGTAATTTTAAGGCATAAATTGGTCGCATTTGGGTTCACCTATACTTTAGAGCAAACAAATCGATACAACAGAATATGCAATACTGACAGACAATGGTTTCCAGCGAAACAAATATATTGATTGAATAAAGTAATACACAATTATATACAGCACTATTTTAAAACAAATAAATTTGCACAACTTATTTAACTTGAAATTTTTTGTATAAAATGGCAAATACCGTTAATACTATTTGTATTGGTTTTCTTATATTTATTGAAAGCTCAAATTCAGTACAATAATCAATATATTAGTTCTCATTATAGCGATTGCTTAACGTATTTGCCATTAAGACAGGTCAGCCTCTTGTCGCAGTATATGTTGAGCGTTGAGGTCGTTATCTTAACGCCTCCACCACCGGAACCGCTGTCAATACAACTCAATTCACTGGTCATACCTAACAGTGTATTACATATATCTCTGTGTAATACATCGCATAAATATTGGCCTAAAACCATAGGCACTGTAGTTTTAACATTGATGGGAGGCTTATCTAAATCAAAGTTATTTGTCATCTCTTTATACTAAAACAGAATAAGTTTTCATTTAAAAACAACAAAGTTTATATAAATATATCTAAATTCATACAATCTGCTTGCATAGGGCTTTGCACATAAACTCTCCTCGATTGTCGCAATTTATATATTTAGGAATTTGGTCCGTAATATCCATTGTGTTGAGCCTATTGGCTAAAGACATGGGATCTTCAATATTGAGGTGCGCTAAGCAACGACATGTCTTAATTGATTTGTCGGCCAACGAATTACTGCATTTAATATCATATATGACTTAGGCAAGCTTGATAAACAAGTAAAATTCAATTTTTAATATAACTTAGAAACTTATACCTAATTATTATGGACAAAATTGTTGAATACAATAAGAAATGCATTTTACTTCAAAACATATTACCAAGTACTTTAAATACTAACAATAAATAAAAATGAACTCCACCAAGTAAAAGTTACCTTAATTCTATATTATTATGTGTTACAAATGTAAATATAATGCAACTAAGCAGACAAACTGTGTTTATTTTGATGGCATTATTGTGAGATTTATAACAAATGTTGTTTTTATTGTTTAATCCTTTAAATGTCTGTAAACACAATGGAATTCAATTAAATGGCTTTAAACTAATCTCGTTAAGATAATAGCAATTATAATATACCCTTATAGCACTGTTTGTTACCATTAATACATGTATTAAATATTATAATATAATTCTTTTCATTTTAAAAGTTGTCATAACATTAGCCTTTAACGTACTATTGTAAGTACAATAATAAGTTATAACTAAAATGTTTTGATTTTTCTAGTTTGAAAAATTAATTTTTGGTTTGATTTGAATCTATTAAATTTATATAAAGTATCAATCATAAAATCCTGAAATAATAGATAACAATTGTTTATTAGATATTATATTTAAATAAAACTTCTTAAATAAAGCAATTATTATTCTACAAAAATTTGTTAATAGACATTTTTATTTAATTATAAAATTTAATTAATTAGAAACTATTGAATCGGTGTTATATGACTTGCATGGCGTGAAACCAGCCATCCTTTCCGTGCAAATAGTTGTCCACACGTTTAGGATATCCCAGAATTGATAGCCATTTGAGTCGATCGCATAGCGCGACAATCGATCGCTCGAAGTGGCCGTCCCTGAACTCCTCGTCCTTATCGGCATATACTGTGGTCACCGCCATTGCCCAGCATATTGTGCCCCCTTATCAAAGTCATTTCATATCATTTCTAAATTATTATTCACTTATTTTTGCAGTATAAATCATTAGCATAAAACTGTAGTAAAATTCTTGCAGTAAATAAATATTTTGCTACTGAAACTATTAAAATTGTGTCCAGAATTTTTCATTTGTGATTTTCTAATCACAAATGATTGGTATGATTGGTAAATAATTAAGCAATCTATATATAATAATTTTAAAGTTTAAAGCAAACCTACAGTATATGTTAAATACTAAAATAATTTAGTGATAATATTTTTATTGTTAATAAATGTCTTTCAAAAACGAGTTTTTTTCTTAACAAGTGATACCAGACATCAACAGACATTAGATATGTTTATCACAATAGGCTTACGATAAGAATTATGGCTTTCCATACAGAATACACCCTTATCTGAGCTATAAATGAGTTTTTATTGTAAATTGAATTCAATTGAAGCGTGAATTGACGGCTCGTAATAACATAACAAATAAATACCTGATTTAGTGATACGTAAGATCTCATTGAATGCGTCGACACTGATATGTCCGGGACAGAAGACACCGGCCATTATGATCACATCGTAGGTCTTACTGTCAATGGGAAGCCGTATATTGGAGGCGACGATAGAGTGAATCAAATTCTTGTAGCAATTCTTCTCTTTCGCCAAATCAAGCATTTTTGGTGATCCGTCCAAACCGTCTATATTTTCGTAACCATTAGCTTTCAATAGTGAGCCAATAATGCCGGTGCCGGCGCCGATGTCTAGTATTCGGCAACTTTTGGGCCAATTTAGCTCTAAAAAACATTTGACCACAATCTGGGCCCCATTGTACTCCATGTCTATTATATCCTTATTTCAAAGATAATTA